CATGCAGAATGACTTTGTGAGAAACCCTTGGCATTCTTTTTTAGGCATTTTATGAGAGTCCCCTATGGTACTTCCTATTGTTGTGTGTACTGAAATGTTGTCAGCAGGGCAAACTGTTCAGAGAATGGGGTTTGGGACAATGACTTCCCCTGCTCCTAACACCTCTTTTCAAGAGGAGCTGCTCTTGGCAGCAAGATGGATGCTGTAGGGCCACTGCTGCATGTCCTTCTTAAACACAAATACACATCAGTACACAAAACGAATGTGTTTTCTATTTATAAACTTGCATAGTCTGGGCAATTCTTAGTTACTGGGCATGTTACCAAGCTATCTCAAGAGGTCTTTGTGGTAAAAAATGTAAAACTGTAAAAATGTCAGCCAGCAGGACCCAGCATGTGTTGAGTGCATGGTTCTACATAGAGTAGCAGAAAAAGAAAGACAGGCAAGGAGCTTATTTCTCACAAAAAGGATCAAGTAGATGTGAATAAAACAGCATAAACCCCTCTGATTCTCCATATAAATACTTCCAGGGGTCATTCCACTTATGGTGGTAAATCTTGGAACCACTACAATTCCTGCTTATGGAGACACCAATCCCATACCTCTCCCCAGTCCTCCTCCATTTTGTAGCAGCATCATCTTTGCCAGCAGGCATGTCTGGAAGCAGCAGAGACAATTCAGGCTGATGACTGAGGAACCTAGGACTAAGGAAGAAAATCCTGGAAGCCTGGCTCCAGGATGAAGCTTGATGGTTGACTGAGGTCTTTGCTAGAGAAAGAGGTGAAATATAGATATGTATATGACCATGACATGGACTCATTCTCCTTATTTCCAACTCTGCTTTTTCTGCTGAAAGTTCAGTTTCTGGAGTAGGTTCAATGGGAGGTTTACACAGCTGATGCTTTCACAGTAGAGCCTAGAACATCACACCTGACTCATTGCTCTCCTGCTAACCCTTTATGGGAGAAAGTGACAGATGAGAGACTGCCAAATCGTGCTGATTATGCATTTTTCTGTAGGATGGAATCTTTCCCCCATTCATTATAAGGGTGCCTGAAGAATGATCCCCCAGTTAGACTTCTGAATCTTGACTCCTGCAGGCTATTTGTGCAATCCCATGCAAATCAAGAGCTCAGCATAACAAAAGGTCAGAGCCTATAAAGGAAGTTAATGGTGCAGCTTGCTTTGTTGGTAGCCACCGATGTTTCTGTTTCACTCCCTTCTTGCATCAAGTGGATGTGCTTTTTGGACATTGCTTCACGCCAGAGCTCAGAGGCTTCCAGGCCATGGCAGAATTCCATGGCACCTCCTGGCCTCAGGTGAGCAAGGGCTTCCCTGCAATTTTATCAAAGCCTGACAGCATTCCTCAGTGAGCTGTGGCATGAAGTGGTTGTTCTTTGCCAATGCACAGAGAGGAAGAAGAGCTCTTAAATAAACACCGAACTCTGCTAAAGCTAGCACTCAATGCTGTCCCTTTCTTTCTAAATAATGATCCCTCTGCAACCATTCCTGGCTTGCTTTGTCTACAGACCCTTGAATTTCCTGTAATAGCTCTCTTCAGAGAGACTGACCTAGCTTTACATAGATGTTATTCAGCATCAAGTTTGCCATGCGGCCAGAATCAGGTTTTTCCTCTTAGCTTGTGCCTTGAAGGGCTTTGTAATAGCCCTGATTTCCTGTGTTAGACTGGGCTGCAAAAACTACACGGAAAAAAACAGGACAAGGTAACATGAGCGTGGCTTTGAGAACTATAGACAAGTGTTGACTTAAAATTTAGGAAGGAACAGGTCATTTATGAAAGACTTCACTTGGAAAACATAAGAAAAACTGTACTTGAGGGCATTTAAATCCCCCAAACCTGAAAGTTACTAGTAGAGAGCAGGCAATCTGGAAAGTATATGACAGTGGTCATCCTTCACATACTTCTCTACAAAATAATTTTTTTTTTTAATTAAGTGGTCATTCATTCCCTACAGTCAGACAAGTAATACATCTGGATCATTACAACAATTAGGCACAGTTCAGCTGTGAACATTCAGGCTTTAAATGCACTGTGAAACCAAGATATCATGGCATTCCTTGCACTTGTATTTCCAGGCGCACCTCTACGACACTTTCCCATCACTACTGAGGCCCTTAAGCACTATGTTAATGAGGAAGCTGCTGGCACTGACACACTTGCAGGACCTATGAACACTTACTGTGGATGAGGTCAGGAACTACCAGAAGAGCTGGGTGCCTGCAGAGCCACAAGACTTCATTGCTGCATGCCTAACTCAGATGTTAAACGTAACAAGTAATTTTCTCTTGCATAGCTATAACATATTTAAAATGCTTGTAGTTAAGGTATTTCCAGCTGCACTGCTACTTCTTTCTCCTTCTTTTCCTCCTGAGAGACTGTTGAGCTATTTCTTTCCTTGAATTCAACCTAAAAATTAAAGAGAGTAATGTTGTTCCACTCTAGACTGAAAGAAAACTTATTGTGTGCTGTCTTCCTCAGTCAGCAAGATCATATATTTTTAACAGAGCAACATGGCTGCTGTCTCACCAGCTTCATCAACTCAGTGTGGAGTCTGTGGTGAAAAACAGATCTGTTGCTGGAAATTTGCTATGCTATTAAAACAGTCTTAAATCTCACTCTCTGTCTTGTATCTGCAAGCAAAGGATGACCCACCCTCTCCATTCATAGCACAAGAGACCACAGATCTCTTTGTGTGGGCTCAGACACCGCCACTTTCCCTTTATGCTGAGCTCTCCATGATGGTGTATCTGGAAGTGCAAGGTGGGAAATGTGTGTAGCTGCACTTACATGTGCTGTGTTCTTGCACATGGCAGGGTAACAGGCATAACACTGTTGTTCAGCTGCCCTAATCCTGTGGTGTAAGGTGTCTGAGTTTCTGCATAGAGTCTGCACATCAACTGCCTTCTGAATACCTTTGTTCTGCAGAAGGAGTCTGTGTTGGATGCTGTCATTGGTCCATCCTGTGGAATTGAATACAAGGACTGAACGATCCTGCCACATGCAAATGCAATCCTACAAGAGATTATGTGTTATAGCAGCACTAGTGCCACAGGGTTTATGTGAACTCAGGACATCACACTGCAAGGCTTCCCTGTCACTAAGGTCTGTTAATGTCACTAAGCTTTGGGGATACCCTTCAAGAAAGCAAAGTCAAGCATTACATCCCTCTCACTGACTTAAACATCACATCTTATGTTTACATTTGGTCCCAGGCTGCAAAACTACCTAAAGGTGTTTGAACAGCTCATGAGGAACTCTTCACTGTGAATAGGATGTTGGATGTTATCTACATCCTATAATATGAATAAACCTATACTCAGTTCCCCCTCCTATTGCACAGATGTTACTTCTACCACTTTTCTATACAGGATTACAAGAGTTAGATCAATGTATAAAGGTACCAGTATATTGACCTTTGAATTCTTTGAAAGTGGTACAAGCTAAGTATAAAAAGCACAGAAATTTTAGAAAAATATTGTCTATATATGCAATTTATTACATCAGCAGAATACTTTAAATCCAGGTAGGTGGTCTTCCCAACAGGTAAGACCTGTGTGGCTTTGGGAGAATATGTCTGAGAAAATCAAGATCCAAGTTAGGGGCCTTGATAAGTGTGAAGCCTTCAGTTCAGTGGGATTTGGTGGTGATTTTTTTTAAAAGTTTGATTACTGTAATAACTACATCTATGGTGCTCTAAAATAGATCTTGAAGAGTGACCAATAATTTTTAAATAAGCTATTCTGTAGGAGATAGCACAGTGTGACCCTGTTTCTCACCCCGTAATAATTAACTGGCACTTGCACTGAAGAATTTCAAGAGAGCCATTGATATCCTGACAATTTAAGTCACTAGTTTTTGATTCTGTGAGAAAGATCTTTGTATTTTCACTTTGTATTTTAGTAAGACACTTCGGTTTTCCCCAACATATTTTCTGTCTAGTATGATCAAGAGCAGTGGGAGAGTCCTTGACAGTTTAACCCTGGTCATTTCCTGGACAAGGATGGAAACTTTGTAAACAGAGAAGCTTTTATGCCATTTTCTGCAAGTAAAAGTGATCCTCAGTCTTGCATACAGCTGTCCTGCAGTGACTGTTTCGCAGCCCAAAACTTTTGTAACGTCTGATCTCCTGCCATGAGTATCTTTATTCATTCCCATAATAAGGTCTATGTAGGAAGAAAATGGAGGTGGTGTTTTTGGAGACCTGCTGCAACTTCACTATTTTGAGGAAAAGCAGCTAAAATGAGCTGGGGTCTGAATGAAAGGAAATGCAATTGTGGTAGGAAAGTAGATTGTCATGTGGGAAAACAAGGGCTGATTAAAGCCCCTTCAGAATGCAGGGGATGCAAACCTGTTTGCTAATCAAGAACTGGCTCCTGGAAGGATAATACTAATACTGACATCAGCGGAGGCTGAGAGGACAGGAAAGGAAACAGCGTCTATGTTAGGTCTCCATAGCAATTTGTATAACACATTCTTTCTGAAATATTTTGCTAAACTGCTAGTCTTCAGAGCACAAAGATCCCATTTATGTGTAACTGCAACCAACCAGGGAATTCTTCATGAGTTTTTTAAACTATTTCTGCTACTATCTATTTATAAATAATTTTCTATGTCTTCTAAGATTATGGACACAAGTTTGAGCCCATAAAACAACAGGAATGGGGGTGCCAGTGGTAAAGATATCTACCAAGGCCAAATTAATTGTACGAATAATTTGTGATGCTGCTTTACAAATCACGAGGTTACAGCCTGGCGCCAGCCGCGCCACACCCAGCATGGCAGCTTTATTTTCCCTGCGCCACACCCAAGATGGCGGCTACGACCCAGCGCCACACCCAAGATGGCGGCCCCGGCCCTCAGGGGAGGTCCCAGCAGGGTGTTCCCTCCCCGCCCCACCGTGCGCTGCAATGACGGCTCCGGGGGGAAACGCGGGCGGCTGTGTCCGCGCTGGCGGAAGCGGCGGAAGGTTTTGGCTGCCGGACCCAGCGGGGCGGAAGTCGCTGAGGCGGACGGCGGTGGCGGCGGTAGCGAGCGACGATGAACAACAAATTCGACGCGTGAGTGTCGCCCCTGGGCCCCCTGGTCGGCCCCCGGCGGGGTGTCCGCATGGCTCCGTGCCCCGTCGGCGCCTCCCGCCGCTGCCCCGGCGCCCCTCGGGCTAGACGCGATGAGTCACGGCGCCGCACAGCCCCGTCCCTGCAGCCGGGGCCCGGCCCGGCCCCGAGGGGGTGCGGGCCCGAGGGCTGGGGGCCGTGAGGCAGCGGCCTTCCCGCACCGGGGAGCCGCGGGCTGCCTCGTGGTCCCGCTTCGCGCTCGTCTTTCCCGGCGCTTGGCAGGGAACGGGCGGGCGGAAAGACTCGTGGGGTGCCGGGTGTGTGCTCGCCTGTGCCGTGCTGAGAGGCGTGGGGAGCGGGGTGGGAGAGTCAGCAGAGTTACAGTGACAGCTCTTCGTGTGGTCCCTCCCTAACAAGTCGCTGGGGTTTTCTCTGGCAGGTCAGTATTAGTAAAAATTACTTGAGTTTGTTCTAAAAAGCTATTTTGTTGCTGTCTTTAGCTAAAAAGTGTGTGCCCAAGATGCCTGTGATGGGCGCTGGCCATGCCAGGTAGAAGTAGTTTTTGCTGTGTGGGCTGTCAAGTGCAGATGCCCAAACTCTGGGGGCCCTTGTGCCACGGAGGAGCTTTGGAGCAGAGATTGGCGTGAACCTTCCCAGCTGTGTGGTGCCAGACTGGCTTTCTTTGTCCTTTCCTTTACCAGATTGAAAGATGATGATAGTGGAGACCATGACCAGAATGAGGAGAATAACACACAGAAAGACAGTGAGAAGGAAAAGAACGATCGGGAGAAGCCACAGAGTACTACCAAGAGGAAGGTATGGTGCTGCCATCCGCAATCAGTCCACTGCCCGAGCATGATGTGCTAGAGAGTCAGCCCTCAGTTCAGGGATAAGGAAAATATGTCTAGGAGGGCTGTGGTCTCTTAATGCACTGTCACTGCTGTGATGAAGACAGAGGCTATGTTAGACTTTCACAATTTGATGTAGCATTTGGAGGTCTGTATTCTGAAGGGTGAATGCTCCCTTCACAAACGCAGCTAGTACGCTGCCAGGCTTTTGAACAGGAATGAGAAATAAACCTTTATTTTCCACCAAAAAAGTTTTGAAAGAGGGTGTGTGGGGAGGACTGGTTGACAGGGCACTAGAGGCTTGCAGTTGGTTTACCCAGCAGTGATGAAATAACTCATAAGATGTGTCTCTGTGTGTGTATTGTAGCATGGTCAGGAAGGCATAGGGCGTATATCTGTTCTGGTTTGGGGCTTTTTTAGTCTTGTTTTTAGGAAAGCTGCTTTGTCTAAAGTAATGCAATCCTTGTAAACTTACCATAGCAAGAGGAGAGGAGGGATTCAAGCCCGGACAACCTGTAACAGTATCAAGTGATACAAGATAAGGGCTTTGGTTGGGTTTTTCTCTGTAAGTTTCGACTCTTGGGTAATAAGCTCTCATTAGCCTCTTTTGTGATCATTAGAAGTCTTTTAAATCATTAATCAGTGCTTTGGAAATGGAAAAGTGATTGCTGCCCACTGCTGGTGATGGGTTCTGCCAAAGCTGACATAACGAGTTCCAAAATTAATTCTCCCAGAGCACTGGGGTGTTGGTTGCTTAAGGCAGTTGGTGTCACCAAAGACTTATAATTGCTTTTGAATCATAGATTAGTGTAAGTAGGGTTTGTCCTTCCCAGAGGGGAAAAGTGTTTTTTTTTATTTTTTCTCAATTTGGAAAAGCTCTTGCATTGCCCTTTCTAGTTTGTCTTTTTTTGCCTTGGAGACAGTTAAGGACTAAAAGGAAATTCAGTAGTGCTGCCTCTAATAGTTATAACTGTCGCTTTTGTTGTGATGCTCTGCTTGCTTAAGTTATTCTTTCCTTAGCCACCCCTGCACTGCAGATTTCCAATATTTCTGAACTAGCCTAATCGTTAGGCTGTTTTGGGCAATTAAGAGAGTCAGAATTTTTCTGTAAGAACAAGGATCAGTTTGTTTATAAAACAGGAACATGTGGACTTCTGATGCTGTGGATGTAATTTTTCCCCTTCCCCTTTTAGAGGACCATGTCAGGGGTAAGCCAGGCTCTTTCTGTCCCGCAGGCTGTTGTTCCCGGGCCAGCTGAGCACCCCTTGCAGTACAACTACACCTTCTGGTACTCCAGGCGAACGCCCGGGCGGCCCACGAGCTCCCAGAGCTACGAGCAGAACATCAAACAGATCGGCACCTTTGCCTCCGTGAGTACACCCCTGCTGTCGTGGCTGGCTCAGTCCCTGTGTGAGGGGTGGGTGTGTGCACACACAGGCTGTGCTCTCGCTGTCAGGAGCAGGGGGTAGTGATGTGCCAAGACTTACAGATGAGCTCTTGAATTGCCTACAGCAGATGATGTGTCTTTAGCAGTTCTGCTCTGTGCTAGACCTCCGTGCCTGCAGTAATGGTGGCAGCTGGAATAATAATTGCAAAAAAAAGGGAGCTCCCATGTAGGTCAAATGTGCTGGCTAGAGCAGGACTGGACAGGCCAGCAAGAGAAGAAAGGAACAGCTTTTTCGGGTGTATGTGTGAAGCAAAGACTGTATAGTCCCCCTCATGCTTCCTGTATTCCCACCACAAAGACTGTGTTTGGATCAGGCATCTGACCTCTTGTATTTGCAAACACCTGGAGGCCTGTTGTCTGTCTGGAAGTGATGGACAAGGTGCAGTTTGGTGTTGCAGTGAAGTTCATTAAAAGGCAAACTGCTCTCCCTTTCCTCTTACATTCTTTGTGGTTGTTTATTCCTGGCATAAATTTGAGTGTGTCCTTGAAAGGCAGTGTTGGCTTGTTGTATGGTACTGGGAATGCAAAACAGTCACGAAGAGCCCAAGATATATAAGCAAAATATGTCTCCCTTAAAATACTATTCTCAAAGTCAGGAAGTCCATTGGCTGTTTTCTTTCTTGGTTTTTTTTTTTTTCCTTTTTTTTTATCTGGTAGTTGTCGAGTTTTTTTCAGGATCCCATGTACATGTTGATTTTGACCCCCAGTACATATCTTCTGTAATGGGAGAATTTGTAAAAATACCCCTTTATTCCTTCTGGAGACTGCATAAAAATATGCCCATCAGAGCGGCTGGGTTGTGGTGTTGTATCCACAGAGGATAAGAGTGGGAAGGAGAGCCTGTTGTTGTGGATAGTTGCTGCTCCTATTACCCTGCATGAGCAAGTGCTTTCAGTTCAGTGAATGAAAAATGTGGCTACTGCATGATGATCTAGTAATAACTTCTCAGTCTGTTAAATCAGTGTAGACTTAACATTGATTTTTAGCTCCTTAGAGGAAAAATGTCACATCTTCTTTTGTCTGCTCTTTGCTGCAAAGAATTTGTGGGTGCTGTTGTAGGCTGGAAGTGCTGTAGTTGTCAGGATGGAGAGAGTCTGGCCAGCAGAGTTGATAATGTGTTTGGTTCTAAATTCTGTTTAAGGAGAAGGAAGAGCAACCTTCAGAAGGAATTGCCTGAGCTAAGTCTGGGTTCAGATTTATTCATGGCTTCTTTAGAAAGCTCTAAAAGCTGTGAAATGTGAACCACTAGAGGGCATGTGCCCCCGCTCTGGGAGTGCAATTTCCACACGGCATTTGGATGTGTCTGGCAAAAACAGATTGCTTCTGACCCCTCCTCAGCCTTGGTTCATAACTTTATTGGCTGTAAAAGGGATGACAGAGGTCAGAGATTGGAGCAGAATTCCAGCTGCTGACCGAGTCATTAAGGTCTCTGAAAAAGTACTTGGGGTGGTGTCTGACCCCTCCAACTGCACTGCTGGTCTGCTTAATAGCTATTGTCTTAAATGAGTAGAGTCCTCTTAAACTATGGAAATTAGTATAATGTCTTCCATTTTTTATTTTGTTTTAAAGATCTATCTCTCTAAAATCCTTTCTTACCCAAAGATTCTCAAAGGATAAATGTTATTTTTAAGAATTATAAAAAGTAACTCCCTTTCCTTGCAGTCAGATTGTCTGACCCAGGGGTGCCAGAATGGAACTGGTCAAAGTGAAGTGGTCCAAGTGTACAGATCTTAAACTACCACCAGAGGATGTATTTTGTCTTAAAATCTGGATACAGTAAAATTAAATTTAAAAAATGTCTCATTTGGATACTCCTGCAGTCTCCATGGTCACAGAGAGCAGTGGTTATGCAGGGTAGAGAGGCTTGGCTGTAGCTGATGCATTTGACACATATCCAGTCATTGAAAGTTTGGGCAGTAGGATTTACAAGATATGGAATTGGAACTGTTCTCCAGAGCAGCTGTTATCTTAGCGTGGATTTCTTCGGACAAACACCGTGTGACTTTAGAGGCACTTGTTGAATGTTTCAAATGGTGATCTGGGAATGGAGCCAGTCAGAAACAGGCACACGAGCTCTGATCCTACTGCTACCTTCTGTGTTTCCTAATCAACACCCTTGTGACAGGAGAGTACAACAGAAAAAGGGAAGGTGACTCTGGCCAGCTGGTGGAGAAATGGAAGCCTGTTTCTGTAGGAATCTGGACTGTGAACAGTTTGAGCAGCCTCATTGTGTGGTTGGTTCCTGTTGTTGCAGGTGGAGCAGTTCTGGCGGTTTTACAGTCACATGGTACGTCCTGGGGACCTGACAGGCCATAGTGACTTCCATCTTTTCAAAGAGGGCATCAAACCCATGTGGGAGGTGAGTTGGAGCTCTCATTTCTGCCTGGGTATTTTCCCAGAGTATTTTGGAGGGAACCTTCTACAGTAGAAGGACTCTTGTCATTAAATGGCACTCCACTGGCTTCATTTGGGAGCAGTCCTTTCTTCAGGGTTTCCTGTTAACTTGTCCCAAGAGGTCTGTCCCATGTGACCTGGCAGTCCTGGGACGTGCTGCCAGAGAGGGAACATGTGGGATTTGCTGGTTGCCACCCCCCACAAAGGTTGCTGAACTTCTTTGCCTGTGGGTCCAGAGGGTCTCTGGGCAGTGTTGCCTGGACCCCAACTAAGCTCTGTGCCTCCCAATACAGACACTTGCCCCTTAGTGCCTCCAGCGACACCGGTGCAGGCCTTTCCTCTAGAAGGGCTGGACCTGTCTAAGTGGAATTCAACAAAGCTTATAAAAACCAACCCTCCTTTTTCAGTGAAGGAAGGCAGAGGTGCATGTGGTTAAAAGCCTACAGTTGCACATAGAGCTGGAAATGGAAAGACAACTTAGCCTTCTATTTGCCTTTTTTTTTTTTTTTTTTTTTTGTTCCAGGCCACTGAGTTTGCTTCTATTCCTATCCAAATCTGTTAAAAAAATTTAAAAAAATCTTGGCCCAGCAAATCATTCTTCCAGTTCCTGGCCTGCTCCCAGCAGTGACCAATAGCATTCACAATATGAGGATTTTATGTGTTGCTCTGAAGTACCTAATTATACTGCTTGGTCCTGAGAAATTTATATGTGACCCTTGTTGGCAATTATTTTAAGCAAGGTGTTTTATAGCCAGTTACTGCAAATACAATTTATATAAAACGTTTAACCCTCTTTGGATTCCTGGTGATTCAGCTGCTCTGATAATGTGTCAACCAGAGAGTCCACAAGTTAATGATACCAGAACTTCTATAAAGCATTTCCCTGTAGCCATTTTAAGATGGAGGTGGAGAGATTCTTTTGGTTTTTTTTTACTTGTGGCCCCACTCGCTTCTTGTATTTCTAGAAAAGGACCTGGGATCTTACTGCTGGCCTTCCTTTTGCTGCACGGTTTGTAGGGCTTTGTTTATGCGTTTTCTCTTCTGAACCGGTCCTTAGTTATTCTCATTCTTGTAGGCACATATGTGTCTGTATGTAGCTGATCTTTTTCTGCATCCATCTGTGCCTTTTCTGGTAAAGTCAGAAGCACTAAGCATAATGTTCCCTGGTGATTTACTGGGCTGCAGATCATTGTTATTCTGGTAAAGGAAAATAAAATGCTTGACTGAACTGAAGCTTGTTTAACTTGAAAGAAAACTAACAGTAACCATAAAGCACATGATACAGCATCTGTCTTCCAATCACTGCTCTCTTTGTAGTCTTGAACCTGCTTAAACCACCTTTGAGATATTTAGAGGAACATCACTCTCTCTTCTGATGCCCATTAGTCATTGTGGAAAGCTTGAAGAGTTAAACCCAACTCCCGGCTTAAAGGCTAAAGTGTGATGTTCACGACTTGGAAAACAAGGACATTTAACTGAAAGTAGTTTGCATCTAATGGGAGTATGTCACATTCCCAGAACTTGTGTTGTTTTGGATGGCTGCTGTCGTGCTTTGAGGTTTGTCTGGAGCTGATGCCTTCCCCTTTCAGTGCAGGCTTTAGCACATACATGAAAACTAGGAGTCAGGTGAATGCTGCCATTATTCTGGCCCTTCCATATTTCCTCAGGATTGCTTTGTTAGCACTTACTGTCTCTGAGAAAGCACACAAATGTTTGGTTTTATCTGAGCCCTAGAGAAGCTTTAAGGCTAAAATAAAGTTAATTTTATTTCATTAAGAAGGGTTGGGCTGCTTTGCCTGGCATCTTTGAGATGTGTCCCGACTTGGCAGAAGGGATTGCTGGTGATTTGACTACAGATGTCCTGTTTTCTGCAGTCCCCCCTCAGTCATCCTTTGTTCTTCTCTATGTCTGTTCTATACCTGTCTTCCCTTCCACTTCCTAGCTGCCACCTCTTTGACTTGTTCCTACCTCTCTGTCTTCAGCTTTGGATGGAATTTGTTCCCCCCTCATCTTGTAAGATTTCCGAGCTATAGTGTTGTACAAGACAATGCCACAGTGTTCTGCACAGAGGAGGAGCTGTTTGACACAGCTCTATGTTCTGGGGAGCAGGGGAGGCTGGAGCAGTTTCCAGCTGTTTATCAGATGCAAAATACAGAATCACAATACTTAGGTGACAGACTGGGTGCTTAGCATAAATTTTTTCTTTTACTCTCTCCCTTCATTTTTGGTCATTTCTATTGGTCACCACAGCCTGCAATAAACATTCAGCTGTATCATGTGTGATACTGTCAGTGGTTCCCAGAGAACAAACTGGTTCTTTCTTGTGAGCCCATTCCTAGAAATGTGGAAGGAAAACGTTTATCTACTTTTTGCTTGCTTTTAAATATCACTTTGCAAACTCTTTCCTGGGCTTCCATGTTCTATGATGAGGGATTTCTCCCGTTTTACAAGCAGAACTACATATACAGGGAATTAGACAAATGGGGAATCAGTTTTAGGAATAGTTTTAAGGTCCTTTCCTCTGGGTCTGTGTGTAGATTGGTAGGCTGGTGTTAGTCTTTGCTAGTGAGATCAAAACACTAGAGCTCAAGTCTTCAGAGAATAGAGCTTTGGAATGCTGAGAGCCATTGTTTCAAATACTTCGTATTCAAAGTAAGTCTTTTGCCTTTGTCTCTGCTTGTATGGGGGAGAAGTGAAATGCTTTTGCTTGAAAATACCTCCGTTCTGTCCCTTGCCCCACCCAATCAATATCTGCTCCTATTTGTGGCTCTGCTGCCTTATGGGTAGCAGAAAAATAGCTCGAAGAAAACAAATCAATTTCTTGCCCCTCTTCCTAGGATGATGCCAACAAAAACGGTGGTAAATGGATTATCCGTCTGCGGAAGGGCTTAGCGTCACGATGCTGGGAGAATCTCATTCTGGCCATGCTGGGAGAACAGTTTATGGTGGGGGAAGAAATCTGCGGGGCGGTCGTCTCTGTCCGATTCCAGGTAGGTGCTTTTGAGGGCTGGCACATGCTCCCGTTAGGCAGGGCTGCAGAAAGTGCATCCACCTGCTCACCCCTCACGTGCTGTTCCGCAGGAGGACATTATCTCAATATGGAACAAGACAGCCAGCGACCAGGCCACGACAGCGCGGATACGCGACACGTTACGAAGAGTGCTCAACCTACCTCCCAACACCATCATGGAATACAAAACCCACACCGATAGCATCAAGTACGTGTGGGGGCAGGGGGGGTGCTGCAGGTCGCACGTGTTGCTTGAGTCGGCGCAGGTGGCAGGGACTGAAAGAAGTGCTCGTGTGCGTTAGGGCTGTTCCCTGCAAACAGCAGCAGTTGTTGCCAGCGCACTTTGAAAGCCAAATACCTGTGTTGTTATCGTGCTGTTATTAGGGACATCTGGTTCTAACAGCAAAACCTTATTTTTTTAAGTGTGTAGTCCAGGGGTATTTCAGCAATCCACCCAGCCTGTCACCTGGGTGATGGGCAGCCCAGGGTGGGACTGCGGCCTGATGTATTCAAAGACAAGATTGCAGTGGGGGGGGGGCACGAGATCATTTGAATAAAAAGAGATTCTGGGGAATAAAGTGCGGAAGCTAACGGGGATTTATAGTGCCATTAGACTTATAAATGGTCTTGGGAAAGTGCTGTGTGAATTTACAGTGCTGTACAAATGATTTCTAATCATAATAAACGTCATATATTAAGTCTTCCAGGCCCTGGTGACAGAGGCTCTTTAACAAGACTAGAAGATCACGGTACACAGAGAGGACAGCTGTATTTTTAAATAAATGTGTTATAGCTTACCATACCAGGCCATTCAGGGTGACTTTTATTTTCCACAAAGTGACGCAAAATTGCATATATAGGTATTAGTTAGAGGTGAGTTATGTAATTTTTTTCTTTTTTTTTCTTAAGTTTTATAAACCAATACACTGATTAGGTCATATTGGTTAAATTAACACTTGAAAAGGTGCACCTGGAAGAAGTGAAACAAATTAATAAGACACTGATAGGGCAATGAGCTTTCTAGTCTAGCTTGTAATCAGGGTGCCAAGTACTTTTCATGACTTCCTTTCATTATGATGGCTTGTTGTTTCCACGTAATCACCCTGTCATCAGTGTGCTGTCAGTTTGGTGACATCAGTCTTGGTTTTAGCAGACAGCTGGCTGCTGGTTGTGGCCAGTTTTGAGTGTGGGTAAATTAGTAATTATACAAAGATCTTGCTGGAACAGCCTCTAGGCATCGTGTTCCATGTGGCCCTCCCTCCTGAGTGCGTGGGAAAGAGGAGGGAAGGAGATGATTTTTTTCCATGACTTTGCCAGTAACATTTCTCATGCACTTTCTGCCAGGAGAGGGCACTATGGACTCTCTGTCCATGTTGGGAAATAGCGAAGTGCTCTCGTGGACACACAGCAGAGTATTTTACTCTTGTTCAGCAGCAGCAGACTGCAGACTGGTGATGCGGCTTTGTGGTGAGAGGAAGGAGGTATTTGACTTCTCTAAGTCTCTGTAGGGAAAGCTGTGTATGGAGCCAGCTGTCCTAAGTTGTTGTGGTGGTTCGTGTAGCAAGTATAGAATGGGAATGTTGTGGCCTTTCTCTTTTACACTATTGCCACCAGCACTTTGTAGCGCAGAAAAGGCTGCTGTAGCAATGTTTGTAACTGCTCTTGCTCTGGCAGGTGTCAGGCCTTGAGTGATGGTGCATCCAGCAGTGTGGCCTTATTTCTCACCAGTGTAACATGGTGTGCTTTCTGCCCTCTCTTCCTGCATAGCATCCAAGCTTCATTTTATGTTGCTGACGTATGGTGCAAAATGAGCTTGTGTGAGAATAACAGGTGTTTGGGGTATCAAGTTTAGTAGTTCAGATTACAGCTGGGAGCAGTTCTTAAACAGAGGCCAACTGGCTCTTCTCCCACTCATTCTTCTGTGGGTAGGAGGGTTAGACAGAAGCTGGTTTGATGATGTCCTAGTCAGGTAGATCTAAGCAATTAACTTTTTGCCATGTAGGGCATCAAAAAAGCCCCTTTTTTCCCATTGCCTCGCTTGAGCTGCAGCAGTCTGATTGCAGTGCTGTCCAACATCCCCTTCAAATGGCACTGGTGTAAATTCAGAGCAGAACTGCTGTCAGTGGAGTTTCTGTGTAGTGATGCACAGACTGACCTCTTATGCCTCCCTTGCCTGGTACCAGCAGGCAGCAAAGGGGCAGCAGCTGCAGAGAAGTGACGGTGGCTGCTTTGTGACAGAGAAGAGCAGGACAGCCCCAGTTTTCAGTCTGACTCTGCTTGGCTTCTCTTCATGTCATTAAGGTTCTCTCACTAATGAAGAATCTCTTGTGTAACTAGTTCTATCCTCCATAAAATCTGACTCCTTTTCCTCACCCATCTATCAAGCCCTGTTGAAATACTGTCCGTCATGAATAAACTCCACTTATGCTGCACATGTACCATGTGATTTATGACTCGGGAGGGCTTTCTAGCCAGCACTCTATATTCACACTCTGGCTGTGTTTCATGAAAAGCTCTAATGGAAGAGCTGTGCTGTAGGCTTTGTCAGGGCTGCCTTTTGAGGGGGGGGCTTGTGGCATTTTTCATTTGTATGGGCTGCATCTCTCCACTAGAGCTCTGCTCATGTGCAGGGTTTGATTGGCATTGATTGTGCTTCAGGGAAGGGAGCACGCTTAGCAAGAAAAGAGCAGGCGTTTCTCAAAACCTTGACTTTTAGGTGGTGAATTGACCTGGATTAGCTTTTGACACACTGTAAATGAACACTTCTGTAGAAATTACTAGCATGCCCCTCACTGTGGAACCTGAGCCCTGTGTTTCAGGTTTTATATATTCCTTTTGTGATGATGCATTTCATATTAAATCATTTTTAGACACCATTTTTCACGAGTTGTCAGTGAGGCTGCAGCCCCTTTTGTTTCAGAAAGCAGCAGTGCTGCCAAGTGGCATCTGAAAAGTACCTGTTGCACCACAGCTATTCCAAGGAGCTGTTCTGCATTCTGTCCTTCCAGCTCTCAGTGATGGGGCTTGTGCATTTAGCTAGATAAGCAGATCTTTCATTGCAATTTTCCTGTGTTTGTCCTTTCTCTTGCTTGTGATATTGACAAGCTGCCTAAATCCCAGCGAGTGGAAGGGTCAGCTTAGTCTGTATGAATTTCCAATCTTGCTAGGAGAGCTAGAACAATCTCTTGGACTCTGTTTAATTCCAAGGGATTTATAGTACCTTAGACGTTACAGTGCTGAGCACCTGAAGAGTACATATGTGACATTTTGCGGGCTGCCTTGTTTCAGTAGCTGGAGAGAAATCACTTCTCTTTGTTCCCTCAGAGGTGAACTGAGAGAGGTGCACAAGGATGCAGTGAACCAATTCATGGGTTCTGTTCATCAGCGTTGTTAACCTTGGAGGTGACATGGTCCAGAAGTGACAGTGGGTTATGGACAATGGTACTTCCTGTGGTTTGGAATTAAAGAAAAAAACCCCAACCTCTTTTGCTGCCATAGGAGGGGCACTGTGCTTTTTTGAAAGCAGGATGTTTCCAGGCACAGCCTGGCGATGTCTCAGTGAAGCCACTGAAAACAGTCAGGTGTCCGTAGTCAGTGAACTGCAGTTCGGAGAGGGGTGGAAGGGAAGTGAACACTGTAATATTTGACTTTTGAGCACTGCAGCATGAAGTTCTTGTCTGTCTTGCATACACCTTTGCCCTGCCTGGGGTAATCAGCCTTTCTTTTCTGCACTGATAACTGTGTGGTCAGTGACCATCTCCTGTGTTGAGAGCTCTCACCCACAGTACCATCCAGGAATCCCAGGCAGATTCAGCAACATTGCTTCCTATACCAGGAGGGAGCAGACCAGTGGCCATCAGCAGGCTGCCACTGAGAGGGCTGGTCCAGAAATGTTTTGGTTGCTGTGTGACGTTATGGATCGTCCTGTCAGCTCTAAAGCAAGGCTGCTTTTTCTGAAAACAAAGCTTCAGTTATTCGTAAGTGCCTGCTGCAGTGAGAGCTGAGCTGGGTATAAAACTATCCTTTCCTTTCAAAGTCACCACTGATAACTAATGGGATGGCTCGAGTAAATGAGAAGAATAGTTGATCTTAATAGAGCTGGCACTGGGTTCATTTCACTGCAGGCAGTTGGAGGAAATGGCCTCAGACTGTTTTAGCTACCAAACAAGCAGATACCCTATGAAGGGAATAAGGGTGTGGACTGTAAGAAGACCACAGGGTTGAGATTCTCAGGACAAAAAAAGTGAGAAATGACAAAAAACGTGACAAGGAAGAGAAATACCCGTGGAAGTGGCAGAAGTTGGACAAGAAGATCAGTGTTTGTGAGACAGTCAGCTGGTGGTAGAGTTCTTGTGAGGTCTCCCTTGTCACAGCAGAGTACAGCTAATTCTATAACTGTTACGGTTTTATAGCACTGGTTTCCATTTGCTTGCCAATTTGCAAAACCTCGGGAGAACTCCTCAGTATTGCTGTCCTGCTTGTGTCACCTGTGCCTTTGACCGTGTCTTAAATGATGTGTGCAGGGTTAACCTTGTCTAAAGTTAGATGGTTGCCCAGTGGGACCCTTACACACTGTCTGATGCCTGTCAGGGAAAGGCAGGTTGCCTTGGGTCTTGCCAGTCTGGAGACCTGCATTTCACCCTCAATCCTTTAAGTCTGAGAGCAGGAATAAAATCTAGAGAAGAGCAGTGAGGTTCCAGATCTGATAGCTGTCCTCTTCTCCCGAGTCTTTGCAGTTCTGGCTTAATTCATTTATCGCTCCATTCTCCAATTCCAGTAATGTTTCCAGGTGCTGCAAGTCTAAGAGCACTTCTATAGACCCGGGCTTTGAATTGATGGATTCATTGATTTATTCTCCATCACTCATAGTATGCTTTATTTAGAAGTGCATGACTTTGTGAAAGGCTTCCTTATCTTGGTGGCCTGTCTGTTACCAAAGAAGTGACAGTTCAGTTTTGTTCATTTAGAAATCATGATGGCTTCTCTATTTGCCTTTGCTACAGATACTGCCAGGTAGATGAAAGAATTATATCAGGCTAGGGGACCATCCTAGATTATTTTTTTTAAAAGCTGTTAGTCACAAAGTGTTTGTCTGACTGTGAAGAAATCCCAAGGGGAGCACCTAGGAAGAGGCTGTGCTGCCCTGGACACCTGCAGAGCGTAAGGAGTGGTCAGTGTGCTGGAAGGTTGCATGTGGGCTGCCAGAAGGATCAGACCTTCGTGCCTGTTGTGAGGTGCATGAGTGCACTGTGAACTCTCTGAATCCTTTTTGAGCTGGGGAAGGATATGGTAAGGAGCAGGGCTGCACAGGGAAGTACTAAAGGGAAACTGCTATGACGTACAGATTGAAGGTGGTTGGAGAAAACAGCTAGTGTGGCTTGCACAATGGTGATTTGGAAAGTCCGTTCAAGTGGCTGTGACTGTTCTGTTCTTCCTCTTTTTGCTGGAGTCTTCCTCTTTTTTTTCTTTTTTTCTTTTTTTGAGAAGATAGTGGCTCTTTTTTGCATTTTTTTTTCTCCAACTTACTTGCTGAGGATAAAGGGAACCCTGCCTAGGTCCTGACCCTCGGCAGTGGGAAGTTTCAGCAGTTGTGGGTCAGGAATGAGTGTGGAAGAACAGCACTGGCTGGCTTTATTTAGCCTGCTAATGTTTCCATTTCCCATCTGTTCAGTGGGAATAATCTAAGTGTTGGGGATCAATTCACTGAGTATTTGATCGCTGCACAGACAGTACGGCAATAAGGTACTAAAAATGTCTATACATAAAAATAACCTCTTAGTCTCTCTGGCACTGTGCCTTTGGCATGTCACAGGTCGTAAAGATTCTGCCAGACGGACTGAACTGGCAGCCTTGTTGGGTGCGGGATGGAGAGCAGTTCACTCCGCTAGCATAGCTTAGGTACATCGGGGCGGACACATCCTGGTGGATTTTTTCAGTCAAGTCAGCAGATAGTTGGAGTCATTAGTATTATAATATGTATGAGGGTCTTGGCTTAAGAATTCTTGGCTGGATAAGCTTTTTCTCTGTGTCTGTGAGGACTTGGCAGATGAAGGACTGTGTGCATGTTATTGGGTTGTTGGAACAGGGAACTCCTTAGTTTGGAAGGGGTAATAAATTATTGATTATGTTGACAGATAATCTGCCCTTGTGTCCCTCTTGCTGAGAACAGAAGTTACAAGTTTGGGGAGGACTATGGGACAGGAAAAAGAGAAGATGTGATTGTGGATGATGGGAATGTGGTAGAAATATGAGGCCTGGGAGATTGGGGGGAAGACATGAGGGTGGAGACCTTTTGACAAGGCTGGAGATGTGCAAAGCTTTCCAACCCATATTCAGCAGCTAAGAGGGCTTCATATCCAGAGTTTCTCTTCTCCCTAACTTTCTTCTGGAGAGAGACAGTTGTACCCACAAGTGTCTCTGTGTTTATTTGGGCTATGATTTTGCTGGGAAAGAGCATAAGACACTGAGCTGCTTTTGCAAATGCTGATTTGGAGCTTGATTCTGAGGCTCAGGGGAAGAGCCAGTCTGGTGGTCTGGTTTTGGCACAGATGCTGACTAACCCAGGGTTTCCATTTCTGGAATCTCCTCTTGTGTTGCAGTGGCCTGATGAGGCAATGCACAAAACAAAATGTGAGGTAGCTGGTAAGTACCAACAACAAAATCTGCAGAGTGATCTGAGTTTATGGTTGACCTGGGTTTACTTGAAGGTCCCTGCAGCTCCATTGGACTCTGTGGATTCGGAAAATGGCTTGGCATGTGCTGTAGGCATCAGTACTGTTTTGCTGGGCATGGAGAACTATGAGGTTCTTTGATGTCTCTGATCTCAGAAGGTAATAGACATGTTCACATTAACCTCAGCATCTTTTCCCTGAGAGGGCTTTCAGTATGCTGCCTTTGTAAAACCGACAGCAATTTCTCAGTCTGCTAACTTCATCTGTCAGTAACGTTCTCCACCAGGGAATGCAGCGTTAGGCCTGTCCCTCCAACTTACCTGAAAACATTTTCATTTCAAATGGCTGTGATGTTTTTATTGGGTTGTCATTAACAATGCAGGTTTACAATAGGAAATGAGACTCTCTAATAACAATTGGATTCTGCTGCCTGATTGAAGAATTTCGTAATAACTAAGCCATGTGGCATTAAAACAAGCCCCTTTTGGGGGGATTACCTGCATATGCAGTACGTGGTAAAGCACGAGGCCAGTAACTGGCTGAGTTTAACCAGCCAAGGAACGTGATAATCCTCCAGGAAGATGTAACATTGGCTATTTTATTAGCAATAGGAAATGGATATTCCATTTGTGACTAGGAAGGTCATACCTGTCTCTGGGTATTAATGTGGCTTTATCACCAGCAGCCAGTGGGAACGCTTCATGTCTGTGCAGAACGCTAAAGCTGCCTCGCGCTGTCAGATGTTTGGCTGGGTTTTAAGGATGCTTCTATCCACTAGGGCTATCAGAGAATATTGCCTTGCTCTCTGAAGACAAGTGCCTTTCAAACGCCATTGAATGTTTCTGCTCTCGTTAAAAGTTAAGAAGCCTTTGATCTGAAGTGCTATTTTTTGTTTTTTATTTCATTTTTTTTCCCTCTGGCTTGCCAGGGCCTGGGAGGAGTTTCATGGCCTGGTGAACAGCAGTGGCCGCTGATCGAACGCTCCCCCTCCCTCTGTCACACCCAGGGTAGGGCCTCATCTTTTTTCCTATGTGACTTCATAGCATACCTCTCAGCTTCCAACCTTCTTCCTGTGGGCTGGCACGTTCTCTTGCCTTATGGGCCTGATGGTGGGCCCATTCTGCTATTCGTTCTTTCTCAAAGATCAAAATGATTTTTTAAATTTATTTTTTTTGACCGGACCACCAGCATTTTATGTTGTGCTCTTTTGCTGGATGCTGTTTTGCTGATGTGTCCTTCCTCCGTGTGAGGCACTTGCATCCCAGACCTGGTCCCGGGAGGCTGAGAGGTATGTCTTCAGCTTGGGTGTGTTGCCTAGGGTTGACTGTAAGCAAGTATGGAGTGGTAAATGAATCCTAAGCACATCCAGGTGATGGACACAGAGAGACACCTAGAGCTTGACATACTGCCTTTGCTCTTAACAGTGGGTTGGAGCAGAATAAATTAGTGGTCAATAAAAGCTTGTTTAGAAAGGACACAGAGTATCTATTATATGTAGAAATAAGGTTGTGGGTAATGAGAAGACCACCAGCTACCGCTGGTAGTGGCAGCCGAGATGTGCAGGGAAAATAGCCAAGGTGAGCTCAGGGCAGTTGGGAGCCTTGTAGCTCGGATTGTTTTTCCCCTCCAGTGCCCACTTCCCTGATGGCAGGCCCTTTCCTTAAAAAGGGCCAGCAAGAAGGCTGGCCATGAGAGTTGCATTTGGTAGTAGCCAAGTGGGATCGCTGCACTGCCGAGTGCCAGAGCAGAGGAATCCGGTGGAAGGAAGCATTTACATTCCTGGGCAGTGGTATGTAGCTGCTCCAACACAGCTGAGCTCTGAGGAGCTGCTTGGGATCCCAGAACCTCCCCCAGCAGTGTTGAGCAAGCAGCGTTCCCATAGCTTGCTCCAAAGTCATGGGTGAAAGTCTCTCTCTCTCCTCACAGGTTTGGCTTTTTGTGAGGATCAGCGGTTACAAAATGTTATACAGACCCTTAGCAGTGTTGCTATTGTTAGATGACATTCAGGTGACCTTCCAGAAGAGGAAACCAGCTCACTTGATGAAACGTCAGCCTCTGAAGGCAGTAAATGTGCCAAGGGTATAGGAAAGCAGTGGCAGAGTTGATTTAGCTCTCAGCTGTATTGGGTTGCCTGTGCTGAGCAAGAATGATCAGAGGGCCTGGGATACCCCAGTAAAGGCAAAAGAAGAGGAAATGTCCAAGAACTGACCGAAGTGTGCTGTCAGGGGTGACAGATGGCAAGGGTGAAAGTCCAGTATGGGATAGAAAGCCAAACCACTGTTGCAAATTAACCAGAATCCAGTTAATGAATCCTGAATCACGTTCCCAAATGGCAGCACAGCCTACTTTGCTGGCAAGTGCAAAGGTGAACCCTAGTCTTCTGCAGATGGCCTCCAGCATGGTTTTTGCTGTCATGTCATACCAAAGTAACTTTTTTAACTCTACAAAGTGTTTTTCACTTCCTTCTGCACTTCCAGCTCCCGAGCCCACCTCCCGGAGGCGTTCCAGTCTGCACTGTGCTGTGCGGTACAGCCGCTGTGCAGCTCCTAGCAGCACACAAGGGTTTAAAGGATTTCACAGTCCTGCAGAGCACCTTGCTACTGAAGCTGCTGCCTTTGCTCTTCAGCCCAGCTCTGCCTGTTTGGTCTGGTTTGTGTTGGGGCATCCCAAGGTGTTTGGTTTGGGCAATTTACTGCTCTGTCCCTGTTTATGGGAATAGCTGCCAAACCTATCCTCTCAAAGTAATTGTAATTTCATTTGTTTCCAACACACCACCTCTCTGTTAATGTGTAAATACGCTTTGCCTGTTGCTGCTGCTCCAAGGCTGGCAGTGAGCATTCACACAGGTTTGTGTAACCCCATCTTCCATTGCTGCCCCGTGCTGCAGGTCTATAGAGGAAGGCTGTAGACCAGCAGTCTTTTCTGTCAGTAGCCCCTGTGACTCATGGCTGTACTCATGTGAGTAGAAGCTACTGAAGAAACTCTTTTATTTAAACTTGAGAGAAACGCCCTTGTCAGATTAGATATTCTTTTAAGGTAGTAGAGACCAGGGAGCTAAATTCGTTGACAGTATGATTAAATACGAGGGACAGAGGCAGGAAGAGGTTGGTCTGACGGTATATTTGTGCTCCAAGCAGAACCCCTGAAATCAAATGTTTGGTAAGGAAGAGACTTTGCAAGTTGTTTAAACAACAGAATCCATCAGGGAGGTTGCCAGATTCTATTATATGCTTTGCTCACAGGAGATGACACTTCTTTCTTGTCATTGAGTGGGGATGAACCAGGATCTCCTGCTGTTCCAAGTGTTCTGGAGTGACAGGTTGACTTGTGTGAAAAGTCTCTAGTTAGGAAGCAGATCTGCATAGGAGGTTTAATGAGCATTTGAGTGACATACTGGGATGGCAACACTGATAGCTTTGGTGGGTAGAATGGGGAGGTGCTGTGATCTGAAGGAATGCACATCTCTTAACCTCTTTCTTCTCTCTGTTTTCCAGGGATAATTCAAGCTTTCGAAACACAAAAATCACATTGTGAGAACAAGAGTTGGCACTAAGCTCCTCTCTCCATGTTGAAAGCACTGAGGGGTCTCTACCAGTGCCCTCGACCTCTGAAGGGACTCATGGGCCACTCTCGCACTCCTCCCTGGAGGAAGGATCCATCAAGCCCTCCAGCAGCGGTGACAATAGAGGCCGATTTTGTCTTACACAAACTTTTTTTAGCAGTGGGGCGGGAGGCCAGCCTTTCAATTAGCAGCGTGCCCTTGGGGCCGCGTCTTGCAGCACTTTCCTCTCTTTCTCTACATGGCATGCAGGATCTCTGGGATTCTGCCTCAACATCGGAGCCTTTTGCTGAGGGATACCAGTATTATAAATCTCTCTGCAGCTGGGCGGAGCATCCCAGTTGAGAGTCAGCCCTGTGGTTTTCAAATGCCCCTTTTCAGTTCTGCCAATAAATTATTGGGTCTCTTTGTTTCTTTCAGTCTCTTTTTTTTTTTTTTTTCTCTGTCTGAAATTTGGTGGAGTGATATTTCTGTAGGCAAATCCACAGGCCTGCTTCTGCAAGCTCCATAAAGCATCTTCCCCTGAGCTGCCCACCTGCATGAAGCTGCAGAGCACCCCGAGTGCAAGTGGTGGCCAAACTTTGCTGTATTTGTGGAGTTATGTGAGCAGAGGGGTTAGAGATGTACCATCTTGCTTAAAAAAATGAGATATTTGCTTTGTCTTTGCCTCTTCTTCATACTCCTGGGTTAGCAGTGCCTTATTTGTTGGGAAGAGGGATCGGAGCTTCCCTTAAACTAAGACAAAGAGACGTTTGGTGTCAGTTGCCTTGACTCTGGCTGTTGCGGTGGAGAGCCAGCAGTGCTGCCCTGTGCTGGATCCAGGGAAAGGCTGAATTTGGGCCAAGCCTGTTTCTGGGGTGCACTGGGGTTTGCAAGTCTCTGGCCACTTGGGAAACTGGGCCCCCACTGGGTGTAGCAGGAGAGGGGGATGGCCCAGGCTGCTGCTCATAGCTGCGTGACAGCTGTGACCAGAACAGGGGTTGTGAGTGACCCCCTGTCCTCTGGGGTGAGGCTGGAATGAGGGGTTGTTGCCTGGAAAGCCAGCATGGCTGCAATTTGGATGCCACGAAAACAATAGGAGCTAATTATTTCCTCTGATTCTGCTTGACTGCAACACTAATTGTACTCATTAACAGCTTCAGCCTTTTCCCCTTTTCCTTGGGGAATCGCACAATTGCCTTTCATTTTTAATAGAGCCTTTGCATTGGACCCAGGAGGGGAGTCTGCAACCAGTGCTGGGGCACATCTCCTGCCCCACGTGCTCTGCACAGTCTCCCAGGAGAAGGGGCTGCTTGGGCCAGTTTGGTCGTGACTGCGGAACTATCGGCCCATGTCTGGGACAATTACCAGCCTTGGGGACTGAGAGACCTTCAGCCTCATGACTCCAATTGCAAATTCCTTGTCTTACTACTGAAGTCTAGACTGAAAACAGCCAGGACTGGCAGAGAAAGCAGTTTAAAATATTCAGCCTTCTGAAGGCTTTGTTTTCTGCATTGAGGGTGTCAGTCCTAGGCTGTCTCTAGAGACATTCAGCACTCTGACAGCAGTGACTAACTGCTCCCTGTGGTCAGGCACTTGGCATCTGGCTGTGTTCCCCAAGCTGTGGTGGCTCTCCATGTTTCTTGAGACCCCATGGTCCTGTTCCTGCTCTTGCCACTTGTTTGTCACCAGCTCTCAACCAAATGCTCTTTTTGAGGCACAGTTTGTTTTCCCTGCTGCGATCAGGTATTACTACGGCTGCTACTTAAGATTCCTTTTAAATACAACTCTCCCCTGCTGCTCTCCAGTATTTGTTAGGGGGGATTTAGTTGTAATTACATTTTGGCAATCTAAGCAAAAATAGCCTTGCAAGGCAGGGCTGAAATACTAGCTGCAGGCTCCTTTATTCACAGTACATTTAGCTTCTTGCAGATGGCATCACTTGGGGCTTTAGTGCCGTTGTTGTGCCCAGCTGCGTGTCACGTCCACCTCTGCTATTTCATGTACTCCCCCACTTCTCGCCTCTGATGCCCCATGTCTAAGCTGGTGCTGATGAGTGCAGGCTTGCTATTAAATCTGAAAGTGCTGCAGTCCTGCTGTGCTTGCCTTCAAATAGGCTTTGTGAGTGAGCTGTGGAAGAGCCCTTCTCTGGGAGGCTGTTCCTCTCCTCCCACTGCCACTGTGGTTGAGATTTGGAGGAACTCAGCAGTGGTTCCTGTTGCTCAGCCTTGAAGGGAGAGAGCTGGCTGGGCGTGGAGTTTGTCCTCTTTAAGGCTACAACTTTTCCAGAGATCAGGAGTAAAGCAGTGTTTGATCAGTGCCAAGCACCAGGTCTGGTGCCTCCTATGGCCCGGAGGGGGGGGGAGCCAAACTGGTTTTTGAGCAGGACTTTTGGTTTGTGGTCTGCTGTGTCCTGCTAATAAGAGTGGTGAAAATACAAGCATGAGGTTGCTTGGGACGGGAGGGAGCTTCCATCAAGCTCTAGAAAAAGATTTCAGGTCCTCTTCACTCAGGAAGGAAGCTTCTAGCCACGGGAGCCTCAAATCTGCAGTGACTCAGGACCTTCCCTGCTTTCCTTATCCCGAAGGCTTTGTACACCCTTAAATTTCCTCAGATTCCTGCAAAGTGGCCTTTGGGAAAACTGGAAGGGCTTTCTTTGAACCCCTTAGGGCCCTGGAGCCCAAAGAAAAGCATCTGCTTGGGCTCTTTTTTCCAAGGGGATGCTGAGCTGTGGTGGGCTCACAGGCCCTGGGTGTCTCTGGCTACAGCTGCTCAAGTGGGGACTGATGGCTCTTCCCAGCCCACAGAGAAAAAGGAGTCCCCAGTTTTGGAGGGGAGCAGTTGGGAAATGCTTGGAGGATCCTGTTGCCTTGTCTTAGTGCTTCCTGATGGAGTGTGGGCACATGAGGCTGATAATATGCTGGGGAGGCTTTTTGTCTCTCACTGCAACTCGCCCCAGCGCCCTGCACCTGCAAGGTATTCCCTCACCAGATCCTGCAAGGCACATCTGCTGCCCGAGACCTGGGACATGCTGGCTATTTCTCTGTTCTTATCTCTGGTGTGGTGATAAACCTCAGAGATCTCCTGAGGGCTGGTAAAACCACTGCTTAGTAATGGTGGAGAGTGTGGTTTTGGTCACATGCTCTTGGCAGGCTGGAAGAGCTCATCCATTTCCACTTGTGCTGTATGGACACACTGAAGCCTGAACTTGCTGGAAGAAGCAGCGTCTCTGTGGAGCAGGAGAAGTAGAGGACAGTACCTGGCCCTGGAGGTTGGCAGCAAGGCAACAGGGACACGGGAATCAGTGGGAAATTGCCAGGCAAAGACAGACCAGAGCTCATTAATACTGCACCTTCTCAGGGACAGAAGGCCCAGGGGCTGCAGACGTGCCTGGTGCCCTGGTTTGGGCAGCTTACAGAAGCTCCTGGCTCTCCTGGGCTGGGAACACGTGGCCAGGAGAGTGTCCCTTTAGCCACAGGAGTACTGTGCAGTGCCATCACTTTCCAGCAGGAGGTCTGTGGCTCGGAGTACAGTGCCCCAGGACCTGGTCACCTCACCTGGGTCATGGCCACAGGGCTGTGCCCCCATGGGAGGCTGAGGGCAGGACCCAGCCAAGGTTCTCTGGGCGCTCCTACCTACACTGGTGCGTGCCATCCCCACCTCCTGCCAGCCTGGAGCACCGGATCCAACCAGTCTCTGTGCTCTGGGCACTACACATCTTGCAGGGATAGGGCAGGAAAAGCCACCCTGGAAAGTGCACAGGCAGACTGGCACAGCCAGGGTAGTTCTAGGCCATGACCAGGCTGCCGGTGTCCATGAGGTGATGTCTCAGCTATTGGGTATTTGCCTCCCTCCTCCATCTGTGCCTGCAGGGCCCTCAGCTCTGGCAGGCAGTGCCAGGAGCAGTTGCAGGCAGTAACCAACTGCTTTTCTCCCAGCAGCAGCAGAGACAACTGGTACTGGGACCGTGAGGTGGATGGAGGCACAGCACATCCCAGAGCCAGGCACAGGTGGCATGAGCTGGATCACAGAGGAGCAGATGCTGCTTGTCACCATTCCCAAGCTGACCTCTCTCATCTCCCCTGCCAGCAGGGACAAAGCCAGGGGGGCCCAGAGGTCACTGAGGGGTCTGGGGGAGATGTAGCATTGCTGGGGTGGGGGGAAGGGGCTGTGCTTGACAGAGATGATGATCCCATGGGGCAGGGAAGGCTGGTGAGAGAGGAAGTCATGTGCTGGTGCTTGTAACAGGATGGATGCCAAGGGGTACACATCCCTGAGGAGGTTTTAGTGCCTGGTGGCCCAGGGTCTTCTCACCTCAAGCTGCTTGCTAGGGATCAAGGACAGCACTTCGTCTGTCCCAAGAGCCACAGCCAGGGCATAAATGGAGGGAGAAGTTAGCTGCCCCTAATCCCATCCCTGGCTCTGCTGTTGCTCCAGAATGGGGGGCTGCAGCTGGCATTCCTGCCTCATTGCCATGGCAAAGGATTCCAGGGGCCCCATTTGCTGTGGATTTGAAGCTGTAAATTTGCAGTGGGGAAATGTGGCTCTTGCTGCTAGTGCAAGATGGATGCCTGTCTCTGCTCTGGGCCCCCTGTGTCTCGTCTCACAGGACTGTGTGACCTAGAGGTGCGTGGCCAACCCACAATAGGTGGCACATCCAGCCTGCCCAAGAGGGTTGGGCATGGGGCAAAGATGCCATGGAGGCTTGCAAGACTGTCACAGGCTTTATTTCCACATTTAGCACAGCATGGTGACCCCGTGTTCCCCTTTTCCCCACTTTTCCCACACTGTTTTCCCTTTTCCCACACTGTTGGGGTGTGGCAGACCCACCACTCCCAGCCCTCCCTCTGTGCTGTGCTTGGCACCAGGAGCTGCAGTGCCCACAGGGATCTTGGCCAGCCAGGGGACTTTAGGGGTGCCCAGCCCCTGGCTCCAGCAGTCCTGGCAGCAAGAGGGCTGGTGTGTGCCTGCAGGCATCACTGTGGCTGGTACGGCTGGGGGTCTCCAGGGAAGGGCAGGGCAGGTGCCTGGTTGAAGTGAGCCACAAGGAAGATGCCAACGGTGCCACACACGAAGAGAGAGGCCATGATGAAGAAGCAGACACGGTCGATCACCTGTCCCACCATGATCCACTCCTCGCTCTCCTGCCAGTGGCACAAGAAGGGTGAGGGCTGTCCCCAGTGCTCCCCACGTGAGTCCCTCTCCCCCCGATCCTGACTCACGCTGCCAAAGTCGTTCTGCTCCCGTGTGGCGTTGGCGATGTGGTTGCAGGCATCCACACATGCCCGGATCTCAGGGCCTGCCTCCTCCAGGCTCTGGCAGAAGTCCTGGGGACTGCCACTCTCCAGGCCACGTCCTATGAGCAGCAGAGGCAGCACAGCGGGCACCAGTGAGCGCTCGGCCCCCTGGCACATTGCCCAGCTTCACAGGAAGGTGCCAA